GCAACAATTCAGAAGAACATAGAGGAGTCATGGTCTCCTACAGAATTACGGACTCATGTTGTAGATAAGGTAATAAATTTTGTTGTATCTTTCCCAGTGAGAACCTGTGAGAAATGACAGTCATGTCGACTTTGATGATGAAAAGGTCAAATTGACGCATAGTCAATATTGTATTGACAATTTTGCACTGGGTTTCTATTGAGTTGCCTATTCTGTAGAAGACTTTGAATGAGATAAACTTTATTTCTTTCAGCTCACTGGCCTCTCTCTGCAAGTTGGATTACCAGAAGCTTTCTCGATGGACAACTATTTGGAGGATCTGTATAACCACTTAAATGTGCAGAAAAACGATTTCTTTCAAAATATCTTGTATGGTGTTACATACTTACAAGAAGAACAGGAACGCAGACTAAACAACCCATCAGAGGAGCACAGGTAAACTAGATATTTTGACTGCTTTTAGTTAAAATTTTATTCATGTGTTAAACGGTGTAAAACATACTTTTGTATCTTGTTGTAGATGGATTGACACAGTCACTGGCTATAATGTAGAATATATTCCTACAGCAAATAAAATTGTTCTGCCTCCAAGTGTCTTATCACCACCATTCTTTGACCCTGCGTATCCACTGTAAGTGTTCACATACTAATTGTCTTTCTTTGAGTAACACTCTTCTTTCCTAACATTCTATTTCCTTCTCCCTTAGGCCTGTCTTATTTGGAAGAATTGGTGTTCATATTGCAAGAGCGATTGTTTCTGCCACTTTGCCATGGAACAACTTGTATGCAGCTAATGGAAGCCTTTTGGGACCCTTGGACCCAGCTGTCAACCAATCTCTACTTATGACAGACCAAGCAACAACTTGCCTATACAAATTTGTTATGTCTAAGAAACTGGCTGACCTCCCTGTGACTGCTAACCGAACTTCGTTAGACACTGTTCAATGGATTGCATCAGTTCAGCAAGCATATGAGGTACTACTTAATACTTGCAAACATATTTTTTGTGCGCACAGAAAAAAGAGGGTGCTGACTGAACTTAATTTTGATTATCAGGCTTTTGTTCGAGTTGAAGAAACTGTTCAACACACACATCAACCTGCAATGGAAAATATTGAACCCAGGGAGCTTTTCTTCTTAAATTTTGCGCAGGTGCGTTTTTGCTGCAGTTTTGGTATACATTAGAATACTTTGAATCCCATCGATACATTTTTTTTGCAGAGCTTGTGCACAAAAAGGAGTCCAGAACAAGCAGATCTTGATGAAACTGTTCAACACACACATCAACCTGCAATGGAAAATATTGAACCCAGGGAGCTTTTCTTCTTAAATTTTGCCCAGGTGCGTTTTTGCTGCAGTTTTGGTATACATTAGAATACTTTGAATCCCATCGATACATTTTTTTTGCAGAGCTTGTGCACAAAAAGGAGTCCAGAACAAGCAGATCTTGATGAAGTGATCAGTCCATCTTTAAGTAGTGAATCATTGTAAGTATCTCTCAATAATGCATCCTCTATATCTCTTTGCTTCTTGCTATACACCTACTGCATTTATATTTTTTAATTGTGTTTCAGACTACAAGTTGTGATATCCCAGCTTCAGGAGTTTTCAGATGTGTTTAAATGTGATGGAGACTCATCGCCTCTTTATGGCCACCAAGCGTGTCCTAGTGTTTTTTAGCATTGGGCCAAGCCACTGCCATATGCATCAGTGGCACATTGCACTTAGTAATGAATGCCCTGATATCCTTTGCTTATTGCAAAGAAAAACTGAAGGCCACAACAAAGTTTTGCTCTCTGACTTTACTTTTAGTAAATTTTTATTCTGTTTGAATTTTACAAGTGATTTTTTTAAAATTTTGATTTGAAGAAAAATGATGACATTTCTGTTTCTATGACAAACAGAGTTTTTGTTTGAACATGTATTGTGTACTGTTGCATAGTACTTTTTTAATTTTTTTTGAGTCATATTGACTTCTGTTTTGTCTTGGTAGATTTTTGAAATGATTTGATTTATTCTGCCTTGTGATGCTATCTGATATTATCAGAAACTATTTCAAGAAAAATGATCTAATTGCGTCATGACAGTAACTTATTCACTGCCAGTCGACCTTTTGTTGTGGACATTAAGGTTGGGATTTCTCTCTCCAGAACACAATGGAAGTGAATGCTTACAGGAAGAAATATCTTAAATTGGACTGAACCAAGCTATACTCATATAATTACCCACTGTTATCGCAGGAGTCATAAAAAATTTAAGTATGGGTCGGCTCAGCTTTATGGCAGTTATTGTGTTTGAAAACGACATACAAATATCACAGGTGCTTCTAGTGTGGTAGATGTTTTGTTTTGGATGTTGACAGGATATTTAATTGTATAAAATGTGAGTAGTTCTTGAAAATGTATGAAAAGTATTCAGTTCACAAACTTTTGTGAAGTACGTAAAGCATCCTCATCGCAAACCCGTCAGTATCCCATCCCTTATCAGTATTAAATTGAAGCTTATAGCTATTTATATAGACGTTGAATATTTTGTGGATGTTTATTAAAGCTCATGCCAATGAGTGCCCAATTGTATTTTTTGTTCCAAGTGATGTTTCTGTAGTCTATGTTATGCTCTTCTCCTAGATCCCCTGTTTTGGTTTAATTTATTTCAGAATATACAACAATGGGTTGCTCTGTTTGAACCAGTCTTGTTGTGTAACCATAAATGACAGTGTTTAAGGTGTCGACTTTAATTTATAAGTCTTGAGGAATAGTGGAGATGCTCATAGCTCTTGCTGTTATGAAATGTCATCTGTAAAATCTTGTACAAAGCAGCTTCCTGCTAATCATAATTTTATTAAAAGTAGATTTTAAGAGAGAATAGCTACAATCCCAGTGTGGAGCTTTTTATTTTTAAAAAAATTCTGTGAAAATGTGTTGTGTAAAATTGTATGAAAGTTGTTTAAATTCTGTGATAAAAATATATTTAAACTGTAAGTTTTAATGTTATGATTTTTTATAATTATTTCATCCATATCTGTCAGCTTGTAGTAAATTATGATTAGCAACAATGTTTCTTGTCAATTCTTTCCCCCACACCAATCCTTAAAACTGGACAACGTCGCGCAGGTTCTCTGGAAGATCACTGCAGAGCAAGTGGCTGTATCAACTCAGTCTTTTTTCTGCGACTGGTCCACAACTCACCTCACTCCAAGACAGCTCCTTACCTTTGCCATCTCTTGTCCAAAGAGTTCAATTAGGAATGAGGTCCAAAGAAAGTGACCAAATCCAAAGTTTGCCTTGGCTCAGACAGACTACTTTTCAGAATTTCAGGGAAGATTTCCACTCTTCAAAACTATGGTAAAAATCATGTTTTGAAGGGGGAACTCTAATGACCCTCTAATCTGTATCTCAGATATTCTTCTCTTGTATCTTCTCTTGGTAGGATGAAGGATAAAGAAGTATTTGCTCTAGATTTCTTTTTTTTTATTATTTCAGTCTGTCATTGTTTATGTAAACAAAACAAGATATCATTGGGAAATCACTTCCACTTATTCATGGTCAGTAAACACTCCCACTCCAAGTCAAATTTCCTCCCTCAAACAAGCATTTTTAAATTCATTTTTTAGTTAACATCATTTTGTAAGAAAATTTGGGGTTACAGTGTGGCACAGGCAACAAGAGAAGGCACTATTGCAATCTGAGCCTGCCCACAGTCCAGCACAAATTTGTTCATCCTAGCCTTACATAAATAGATGAGAATTGCTCTGTCAACGCTCATTTTTGTGGTTTCTTTACATAGAAACAGGGAACTCTTCAAACATTTCACACAACACCTTCAGTTTTGGCAAGGTAAAACATTGATAATACCTTCAAAATACATGATCTCTGGGTATCACTAAAATAATTCATGCATCATATATATTACAATTATAAAAAGCTCTGTTAATTCACAGGGTACAGTACAAATGAAAAGTCAGAGTGTCTTAGGTTACACCTAAGATCTCAGATACACTTGCCTAATACATGACCAAAGATGGGACACCTTCAGTTGATTAGATAAATATATGTAAGTTAAATAAAACTCTCCAATACATATACATAAATACAAAAACAAAATCAAGCAGAAAAATTTGGTAAGAATAATTGTACATTCACACAATTAATAAAAACTAATAGAACTTGATTTCATGACAATACCTCTGGGGCATTTCATTCTGCATTTTGATATTTCTAATTAAACAAGGAAAATTAAAACACAGCCTTAGGCTGGAGATCTCTCTCTCCCTATTGTACGTACGGATGGAATTACAGACTTTCCCAGAGTCTCAAAGACGACGCTTATGAGGGAGGAAAATTTCCTTGTCCAAATGAAAAGTAACAGTCATGGACAGGAAATAAACCACTTTACAAAAAGAACAAAAACAGGAGAATTCAACTGAAATCTCAACACTGTCTACATCCAACCTGGGAAGACTGTTAACTTTCACTTCATCGTATTATCATTTTCTTAATAAAAAAAAATCCGTTACATCAAATGTCAGATAAATGGAGCCAATCTCATGTCCAGAAAATCAGGCCAGGTCTGCTTACAGTGAGGGGAGAGATGCGCGCGCACAGGGGCAATGATAGACAATCCAGGTTAGTAAAACCGGGTATGTTACCAAAGTTCCATTTCAAACGATAGAAGGGAGGGGGAAATGTATTTAGAGAATACTATAATCCTCATTCTAAACTGCCACCCACAAGAATTTCTTTTTTTGTCTTTTCACATTTTTTTTTCAATTTTTTTTTGTGAAAGAAAGCTTTTATTTGAAAGGTTTCAAATTAAAAAATTAGTCAACTTTCACAGAAGAGGTTTATGCACTTAAAATCCCCACTTTGAATGCAGTCCTCTAGCTTTTCAAATTTACGATGTTTTTCTTGTTGATTTACTTTACATCAGAGCTCTAGAGCAAATCTGTATTTTACCTGGTAATAAGTTTGTTAGATGGAACTCAAACTCATTACAATGAACTCACCCAACAAGTTTACTGGTAGTTATTCACAGAATACATGTTGTTGTCACCACCCCATTTCTTAGGTCCCCAACCGCCAACAGATGGAGCAGAGGCAGGAGCTGGAGCAGATGGGCCACCAAATGAGGGGAACTCCTCTTTACTCTCCATATTGGGAGCCTTCTGCTCCCATGGAGCACCCTTAACTACAAAGCCAGGATCATTCGGATCCTTGGCAGCGGGTGTATCAGGCTTGGATGGTTTCTTGAGGAAACTATTGCGGTACTCTTCATCCAACATATCCTGCATCTGTAAGTTAAACAATTGAGATATTAGGAGCCAGGAAACCAAACTGGATGTCAGACAAAAAATAGTTTGAGACAAACTTACATATTCCTCTACCACATTTAGGATATGTTCTTTGCATTCTTCAACGTTATCAGGCTGTCCCATGACAGTCATGATGTTGGGGTTGGGATCAGTGGATCTGGCAAACTTGATGTCAACCTTATACTCATCCATAATCTTGCGAATGTTGCGACCCTTGCTGCCAATGAGACGCGAGTGGATTCGGGAATCCACGTCAAGATCCTCCTTTGTAAGTTCATTCTAAAGAAAAAAAAAAATCAGTGATTAAAATATCATTTTTGAAAGAAATTGTACTCAAATCTTTCTAAAACTTACCAGCTCATTGACAATCTTCATGATTGATTCCTGAGCGGCTAATGCATCCTTTTCATATCCAATAATAGTGATGATGGAGGCTTCAGCTTCTCCCTTGTTGGGGAAGTTGATGGAGACATTGTGATCAGCACGGATTTTAGTGATCACAGCACCACGGCGACCAATGATCTTGGGGTGGTACTCTGGATCAACTTCAATCTGGAAAAAACAGACACAGGTCATATAAAACTTGATGAAGATATGTTCATTAACAACCATAGCAACAAAAAGTAGCCTAGAATTTTATGTTCAAAAATTTAATTACCTTGACTTCAAATGATCGCAGAGCACGGTCAGCCTGATCTGCTTCAAGTTCTTTGCAACGCTGCTCAATACCTTCCTTAGCAGCTTCAACATTAGCAGGGGCTCCAGTGACCTAAACATCAGAAGAATTTTGATAAGATAGACAATAAACATACAGGGAGACTGACTGTTAGAGAAGGAATAGAACAAACCTCAACAACATCAAGATGCTGATCAGCTGGAGAGAGTCTGATGTGAACATCATACCTAGACATGAGTTCACGCACATCCTTGCCCTTCTGGCCACATATAGACCGGTGATATTCATATGGAACACTCACTTCAACAGTGATGGGAACCAAATCTTTCAATGCATTGCTTGCAGCTTGGCAATTTTCACTCTTGCCAGTAATGCGGATAACATCACAACGGCGGACAGCAGCCTGATCGCCATCACCTTCACCATTTTGTTGATTGATGGGTACATACTCAGATGTATCATCACGGTCAGGGAATTTAATTTGAACATTATGTTCTGCCTGTACATTTTGAACCTTAGACCCACGGGTACCCATGATAGTTCTGTGGTGTTGCTGTGGAATTATGCAATCAATAGAGACCTGGGCTTCCTGTAAATAGAATTTTTTTTGGTAAGATTACGACAAAAATTAGCTGTTGGTTAAATTTACTGATGACAGCGTATCAGGAAATAATAGAACAACCAACATACCAAATCAGAAATAATTTCTAGAATTCGGGTTTTAGCTGCTTCAATGCATTCCTTAGCTCCCTTGAGTGTGACTTGATCACTTGGGTCATTAGCTCTTGGGAACGATATGGAGACTCCACCACATTCATCAGAAATGCGATGCAGAACCTCACCGCGACGAGTAACAAAGTGACGGTGATGTTTCGGGTCAACAGTCATGAAGCTCTCAGTTGTATTGGCAATTTCTTTGATAACAGATTCTAGTTCAGCCTTGGCTGCATCAACTGATTCTTTCTTCCCGATGATTGTAATCACCTTAAATAACAAGATTTTGAAAAATTAAAATCAACCAATTTAGCAATTTAGATGAAAATGGAAAGAATAAAAATTACCTCTTTGTCCTCATCTTTGTCGGTTGGGAAAATGATGCGTGCACCAGTAGAGTCTCGAATGCGTTTGATGTTGGCACCATTCTTACCAATGAGGAATTTGTGGTGCTGTGACTTGGCACGCACTTCAGCAGACACAGAAGAAAGCTGACGCTCGTTTGACAACTCCAAAAGCTGCTGTTTGGCCTTTTCTACATCATCCTTAGGACCCCGAATAATCACCTGAAGAAGAAAAGCAAAGGATGTCATCGTCATATCAAAGAGACCTTGACAAATCGGAGTAGAGCATGCAATTAAAATAAAAACAAAGATGCAAGAAAACAAACAATTTTCCAACTGTGAGCTCACATACAAAAACAACAAAAAAACAACTCTACCTTGAACAGACTAACACAAACAAGATCATGCACATTATTGTTTAAAAACTTCACATCATAAATAGAGAAACAACATACATGTTCTAGTTAACAAAGAATTCGCAAATAATGAAATGAAATATTGATTTTGTAAGAACTCTGACACTGCATGCTGTGGAACACACATTAAAACTTACCATTCCATTTTTTATTAAGTGCTTTCTATATGCACGCTATTAGTTATAAATCCAGCAGCATAGTAAACCATGGTACAAGACATTAGGTAAACTGAACTGACACTGACAAATCTTAGTTGTTGCACCTAACACCCCCGAATACCAATAAGTGTAAAATATCTCACCTTATCACTTTTGCTGTCAGCTGCTGGGAATTTGATGTTGACTCCCCCACAATCTTCCATGATGGAATGAATCAATTTACCACCAGCACCAATAAGAGAATTGTAGAATTTGGGTGGGATGCTAAGTTCATCTGTAACAATATTAGCAAGCTCATTTTGAATTTTCTGAATTTGCTCCTTTGCTTGCTCAACATTTTCCTTTTTGCCGGTGATAATAATAACATCACTGGTGTCATTTTCGCCGGGCAAATCAATTTTGGTCTGAGTTTCATCACGAATCTGTAAGAAAACACAAACAGATAGATAAACAAACCGTATATGTTTGTTTTCATAGTAACAAGTGGCAGAACTAGGACATACCTTCCGAATGTTAGCACCAGCCTTTCCAATGACAAACTTGTGGAACTGCTTGTAAATAGGTACTTCCAAAACATAGCTGCTTTCCTTAAGCTCTTTTACCATTTTGGTGAGGCACTTACAGCACTCATCAACATCCTTCTTGGGTCCTCTTACTTTGACAACATCACGGTTTTCACCAAGCGTAGGGAAAACAATTTGCACCTCGCTAAATTTGTCTCTCAATTCTTTAATTTTTTCTCCCTTAGTTCCAATTAAACTCTTAAAGTAACGGTGGTCAATAATGACATCTTTGTCTTTCTCATTCTCCATCTTTGCAACCATTTCTTCAATGACTTGCTTAGCCTGTTCAACTCCTTTCTTATTGCCTTCAATGCGAATGGCATGATGGTTTTCAGCAATATTGATTGTGACACCAGTATCATCCTTCAGTTTGTTGACTGTAAAGTAAGACCACAAAAGAAATTAATGTTAACATTTCAAAAAGTGTGCTGTGAGTACATTGGTTAGAACATGAACTCACTGTTGGCACCAGCTTTTCCAATGATATGTTTGTGGTATTTAATATCGACATTAATTTCAGTGGAGACCATGTTGCGCACCATATCAGCCACTAGAGGGCGCAATACATCGGCAACCTTGGCAACTTCTTCAGGGGGGCCTTCAATTTTGATTTTGTCTTTTTCAGCAAATTCAACGTGGACCTATCACATTTAGCATTGTAAGTAAGGTAATAAAAATGGTAAATAAGACTATTTTAAATGACTGAATAATATTGGAAATACCTTGGGCATGTCTTGGGTCAGCTCCCGGATTTTGCTACCCTTCCGACCGATGATGAATTTGTGGAGCCACGCAGGGGCATCAATTATTTCAGTTCCCACACTATTGGCTTTTTCATAGACCATAGTCAAAGCTGAGGTAAAGAGAGAGAGGGCAAATAAAAGAAAGTCGAAGAGTGATGAAGAACAAAGGATCCTTAGAAATTTCCTAACCTGCTCCAATTTTGTCTTGAGGGCCTCTAAGGGTGATTGAAGTTGCAGCTGACTCATTATGAGGCATCTCAACACTCACACCAGTCAATGACAAGATTTCATTGATTGCAGAGCCCTTGTGGCCAATGATGTATTTATGTTGAGCTTTGGGAACCTGAATGCTGACAGTGGCACATCTTTTCTTCTACAAAAAAAGGTATCAATGAAAGATTAGAGATTAGATTAGATTATTGAAAACAAAGTGGATATAAAAATATCTTCCACAAACCATTTCTTCATAAATCTGCAAAATGCGTTCCTTGGCCACTTGTACACCCTGTTTTTCACCAGCAATAGATATCTCATCTTTCATCACAGAAGGTGGTGGAATATGGACTTTGACTCCAGTTTCTTCCATTAAAGCATTCACTTTCTCATTGTTGGCACCAGTGATAAATGGATGGAAGATTTTGGGAATCTCCACTCTCTCATTAGCTTGTCGAGACTATTTTTTATAAAATATTTTTAAAAAATCAAAGATTAAACATTGATTAATTTATATAGTTAATAACTAAATTTATCCAGAACAATAGACTTACATGCTCATCAGAAATGATACTGATCTCATGCACAGCTTTGTCAATACCCTCCTTAGTACCAGTGATGGTAATGACATCAGACTCATCATTCTGTCTTGGGATGGTGATTTTAGTAGCAGTTGCCTTCTCTAAATCTTTCAAACGCTGTCCTGCTCTCCCTAAAATAAGACGATGGTGGTCTTGAGGAATATGAATCTTGTGCATTGCCTGAAAAACAACATATGCAATGAAAAATAAAATTAACTGAAAAAAGATTTAACAGGCAAAATTAAACAGGAGAACTTACTTGGGTCTGGAATTGCTGCAGGATTTTACGCTTTGCCTCTAGCACGGCACTTGGCTTGCCTTGAACAAGGAAGGTCAAAGATTGATCTTTGTTTACAGAAATTTCAATAACAGTAGAAGTCTCTTTCATGATATGCAGGCAGTTATGGTTGGATTCTCCTTCTCCAAACTTATGGCTGGAATCACGACGTTCCTCACATGGCACGTGGAAAACCTGCAATAAATTGTTTTCATGAACTGAATTTCTTTCTTTCTAGAGATACTTAAGTAAAACCAACATAAAATATTATCAAAGGTACCTGAGCAATGTTGGAGTTGCTGATTCTCATTTTGTTGTTCCATTGTCCAAGAGTGTTGCCGGTGGGGGCAGCAACATTGTTGGATTCAGGTAGTGCAGGGAACACATCATCATAGCTGAAAGCTGGTGAGGTGTCCGAGTTGGTGTTGTTAGTATCGTATTGCGCGCTCTCTTCACTCACTGTTGGCTCCATGGTGCGGGGTCCTGGTTCACGCCGAGTCTTTACAGTACCACTAGAACGAAGAAATCAAATTATCAACTACCTATTAAGTCAATCTTGGTTAACTCGGATTAGTGTTCCCCTCCAAATATTATTTAAACTTAATGAAAATGCCACATCTCTCCCCATTAAAAAACCTGACACAGCATGAAGAAAAATTGATATGCCTAGAACTTTCAACTCATCAGCTCTTTTCTCCCCTTGCAAGATAAGGTCATGAAAGAAAGGCAATTACAATTTTATTCAAAAGGACATGAAAAATATGTTGTTTCAAAAGAAATGCTGAAGTAATTTGTATTACTAAGAAATTAAGAGGCTTATTTTTTAAAAAATGAATGACAATATTTGACCACAAGAAAACCCTACTGACAAGGACAGACATCACACTCTACCAGAGCTTTCAATGAGACTTCACCGAAACAAGCAGAGATGAGGTGCCCTTCATAATGAGACCATGACAAGATGTTTCCCTTGACAAGAAACATTATTGTGGAATGCAAGCAAACCTAACCTTCAAGACTTGTCAGGGAGTATGTGCAATTTCATCTACTTAAAAACAGGCTGGATAATGAAATAAGGGTCTATTCATCATCCCCTTGAACTAGACAGCGAATAAAATATTCAGTTCACAGAGTTCATAAGTTCATAAGGTCACGAGACACGTTGCTTGCGGTAACAACATTCAATGAACCGAGAACATCTGTTAGACACAAACTATAGCAAAATCGGTGAATTGGGATGAGAGGCTGGTACACAGCGCCCAAAAACTACATAAACGTTAAATGGACCACATTATCACGACCCATACTCGTCCACTATCAGATGCCAAGCTCTAATCCGCTAGCTACGTGTCAACATCTTGCCAGCCCCTTCTTCCTCCATCCATTGACGTGTCCAAAAAAAAATTTACTTACTGTACTGCAAATCCAAAATATCCGGCCTAGGGACTGCTCCTGCTCATCCCCTGCACGAATAGGGAACTTCTGTCGTCCTAGAACAATAACTTCAAATTAGAAGCCGAAAAAAATACAAGTTGAGAGCTGCATTCCGAGACAGAGGCAGACTACACAGCGTACTCACCGGGGGGGAGACAGAGGCGAACTAGAACCGGACAGACGAAGTCGAGTTGCAACAGCACCGACGAGGGCGAAGGCACTTCGGGTCACTTCGGATGTGCAGTCGTGGACCTCGGGACTCTTCTTCCATCTCTCTTGCACTTGCTCTTTTGTATTCAGTTGAAGAGAGACAGAAAAATATAGGTCTATACGTCATCACCCTAAACTGTGTATTCGTATTGACATTCCAAGGTTGAGGGTGAGACTAAATTATGAAAAACTTTAGATGCCTCAGCAGCAAAGGAATCTCCGTGTCATGCTGTTATAACTGCGAACGGCGAATTTGGAAATATTAATCGGTGACAACTTGAAAGAAAGCTGTTTATTTGTGTATACATGAGGGTGCGACGTTTTGAGGTCTGAAAACGTGTCGGGCAGGTACCCCACGGTCTTCCCTCGGCCAAAAGCGGCCTACACACCCACGCCGGGCCTTGCAGTGGTCGGGCTTTTGACGTCTCATCGATTGTTTCTCTCTCTCCCACACGGCATTCGGCCACTCGGCCACCCGTCGCCACTCGCCGTCAACGAAACCCACATCCTTCACATCACAAGCCTCCGAGCAGGACGCGGAACAACGAGAGCAACTCTTCGAATACAGCGAAGCCCCTAAATTACCGAAAACTATCAACCATGGGTGTGGAAATCCAAACGACATCCCCCGGCGATGGTAAGATTCGTTCTCCAGGAATTATTTAAGGACTCGAACTCCACACGGTCAATCGATTTTTCCTCGTTAGCACACGCACGGCAGCGCTCTGCGAATGCCGTGATTCACTTATTGCGTGTTCCTCGTTTTGCGGTTATGCTCTGCTGGCCAGCCCCGCATGATTAGGCGTTAGTCCTGATTCCCTTTCCTCCCCCGCCGATCCGTTCCCAGGTGTACTTGATTAAGTATGTATGTATCCCAGACCTGCCACCCTCCGGTCACGCATCAATTTAACGCCCTAATGGCAATGGGCTGCGGCCGGCATCGCAATTTGATCAGCGTTTCCGGACGTGCGCCTCGGCATTTTGCACACATTTTCCTGCTCTCGTCCGTCGGTGTTCACGTTTCCCGGCGTCAGAGTATCCAGGGTGGAGCTCTGGTCGCGGTATTTGACAGGAGTCGAATGCGTGCCAGGTATAGGCATATAGGCTGCCTCGCCCGCTCCGGCTGGTTGCCTTTGGGGCAGTGCGACGGTGCTGTTAACAGCTCCGTGCGCGGCGTGTACCCTGCGGCGCTAATGCTCGGCGATTGACCGCAAGAATTCCTGGCGCCCGAGCCTGCGGCGCCGGCGCCCACCCCTCGTCCGAGCGCACGGTGGTCACGCAACGGCATTGCGCATAACCTCCTCTCGGGCTCCAATGTCTAGGACACAGGGTTGCACTTTCATGTTTTATTTCCTGTGTAACACCCTGTGTCTTTTTGTTCCAGGCCAGACCTTCCCTAAGACTGGACAGACAGTAGTGGTTCACTACACTGGTAAGATTTCGCAACACTCGAAAGATTAATTTTTGGGTGTATTGTCGCACTTTGGTTCTCATGGCATTTTTCTTCAGGTACCCTCACGTCTGGACAGAAATTCGATTCTTCAAGGGATCGAGGTGTGCCCTTCAAATTCCGTCTTGGCAAGGGTGAAGTGATCAAAGGCTGGGATGAGGGCTTTGCACAGGTTGGTGATGTTATTGATAAGTCATCCTTCATAATGTACATTTAAATTCTAATTTGTTACATTTGTTTTAGCTCTCCGTTGGCCAAAAGGCTCGCCTGACCTGCTCACCTGACTACGCTTACGGATCTCGAGGTCACCCTGGTATCATTCCCCCCAACGCCACTCTTATTTTTGATGTGGAGCTTATCAAGGTCGAACCATGAATTCCTGATCTTTAATTGAAATACTTGTTTGGCCCAACCAAATCATCTTGTCCTCCCTCATTATAGCTCATTGTTCCCTAGATTGATTTTCTTGTTAAAAACATAACATGCTTCTTAGTTTCAATTGTAGATGGAGACTTCTTCATGCTTTGCATTTTAACAAGATGGTCAATTTTTTTTAACCTTTTCATGTTTAGACCATTATTTTGAATCTGTAAGTTGGGTAAATGGCACAACTGTATGTACCTTTCAAGTTAGATAAAATTAAGCACATTGAGTGGTGCTGTACCTGAGAAGTAAAACCTCTACAGGTCTTGTAAACTATGTTTTTGTCCTGGATATGTAGGGTCCAACCTTGTTTGGTGTATTAGTTCAATCAAATTTTTTCTAAGCTCGTCTGCATTTACTGAAACTTGCATTTTAATGTATGAATTTCATTATCCAATAAACTAAATACTATCTTACTTTTGCTTTAATTGCAATTCATCTTTATACAAACCCCCATATATCTTATAACAACAGTAACTTATCTATTGTAAGGATGAATTTGAGATGCAGCCTTAATGTTGGTCTTAATTCCACTTGGGACTTTACCCATAGGCCCCACTGCAAAATATAAAGTACAAATTATTTTCAATACAAAGGTTAACTTAAAATTCTGCTCCATCTCGTACATACTTTGCTGTTGCCCTGGATTTATCATTCCAACTGGACCACCTGGAGGGCCACTGCCTGGTCGACCTTGCCCCATCATTCCTTGAGGTCCAGGTTGACCCTGAGGAACCTGTGAAAGCAATGTTTAGAAACACTCCTGTGGGAACAGCACACAGAAACAAAAAGAAACAACTTACGGGCATCTTAAGACTTTTTCCAGCACTAACGGCAGACACCAGGAGGTGAGTGTCACCAATAGAAGTGGTCTGTTGGGGGCCAGTTCTGGAGCCAGACTCACTTTCCCATTCTTCTCTTGCTTTACTTACAATATCCCACACATGATTCATAACTTTATTGAAAGCTGACACCTGTTTCTGTATTGGGACATATATTTTAGTTATGAGTATTTTGAAAGACTACCCTCACCCACGCCAACGTAACATACCTGCGCCATATCAAAGGTCATATTTCCAGCCTTAATTTCTAGCTGCATCATTCTCTGCTCTACATCAGGTTCTAGCTTTGTGCGCAAATAGTCAGGAGCCAAATCATGGGAGAACTGAGGAACTCTTTGCTCTGTGATTCTGAGTAACTCTGTATCTCTTTCCTGGCTGAGTTGAATAGGAAGTACAGCCAAGTTTCGTAGCGCTGGGCACTTATCATGTGTGAGAACTTTAGTAAGAGCTGTTAGCTAAAATTTCAGAAAAAGACAAGTTATTGTGAATCAGCAATGGAATCAAACGATGCATGATATACACTTGGTTTGCAGGCCTGAATAAAGGGTGTGAACTAACCTGACCAGACATGAGAGCAAAATTATCTAAGAAAGTCGGCCAATTGAGCGTTTCATGTTCCATTTCCAATTTCACAATCATGTTTGAAATAGATTGTTTCAAATCATTAACACGAGTGATGATGGCATCTAATGCCAGATCCAGCTGTTTCTCTTCACGCTGCATATTGATTAGTTCAGAATATGATAAGTCAGAAGCACATCAGAACGGGTGAGAGCCCACTCTCTCGTAAAGTAAAACCTGAAAAGATAAAAATTAAGTATTGAACATGAAAATGTGTTCTGACAACCCGGTGCTAATAACATAACCATCAAATCTGACAAATCTTTTGGTTTTAAATAATTTAAGCTATTTCTTAGTCGTTGAAATAGAGACTAATCTGTCCCCTTAAATAAATTACCTTTGAAGTCAGATCCGAGAAAGTCGGAAGTACTTTATAAAATGTCTACCAAGATTGATTACAACTAGAACTAGAATAGTGACAGATCACAAGCAACTAATAACAACTAACTGTGTTCTGTGTTTATTTTTAACGGTGTGCGCTGAGCGCAGTGTTGCCAACTTTTCGGTATTCAACTCAGCAAATGCACCGAACTGCGAAGTCTCGTTTGTTTGTCAACCGATTATCTAATCACCATGACAAAAGAAGTGTTGATATCTTGAAGTAGTGCAGGAAGTGATTTGCGATAGACGCGGTGATGTTTTAGGAATACGAGACGTTACTGTGCTTGTGGCAGCTTTGGACAAGTTCTGTCGTCTGTTCTTTGTCGTCTGCACAAGCGGTATATTGATTGTAAACATTGATGCTCACCGAAACTAGAAGCTACAGCTGCTGCTGATAAAAATGAAGTTGTTTTTGTATTTTTGTATTGCATTAGCTGTATGTACCGTCCCACCAACTTTGTCGTATGGTGTTAATGGCGGAATTGAGTGTGCTGGTGAGTTAGATGGGATTTTTGTCTGGGTTTTTCGTGACTCAAAACGCTCCATTATGTATAAAAACAATAAGAATGCATCCTCTTTCCCTTGTTTTTCTGTCTTATTGTAGAATTTGAAAATATATATAGTTGAAGCCAAATACTTAATTAAGACTGATTTCATATTGCAGCATGTACCATTGCATCTGGCATTCTTGGTCAGGTGGCTGAGATTCATAGCTCAGATATTCTCAATATCACTTTGCACATCTGTGACCACCTCTGGCCATCGACTGAAAATGCTTGTAAAAAAGCATTACAAACATTAGAGCCGCTTCTGTTTTTGCTGTAAGTTTTTCCGAGCTCATTCTCATCAAAACTAAAGAATAAAATCACAAAGTGTTATAAACTTTATTTTTTAATTTTTAAAGGATTGAATTGCAAGGAAAAGTAACACCGGACTCCTTTTGCTATGGGATCAACCTTTGTCACCAGGATCCAGGAGAAAAAGTCTGCCATTTATATCCATCGCCCTCTAATAACTTATTACAAAGTGATGTTGAACATGTTAGGGTACGTAAATTTATTAATGCTTTCAATTTTAAGTAAGAGAATTATTTCAAGCATCTTTGCTCATTCCAGACTAGAGTAAAGCCTATCATGGAGAAGTGGTATGGTGCTGGTCACAATATGGATAGAAACATTTGTGAACTGCCAGGTGTAAGGGACCTATGTTCATATTTATCAACAGTATGGGAAAACATGGAGCCAGCTTTTGATTTTGATGGAGATAAATTCAGTTCGTCAGAGGTATTGAAGACTTTATTTTGGTTGCTAGAGTCAAATTTTTGTGGTTTATTCTATTCTTTTTAACTGATTTAGAAATGGAGAGGATCACACTGGCGAGGAAGAGATTGTTTTGATGTGAACTCAAAAATATATCCTGGTCGCAGACCACACTACGCTGATGTTAACTTTGATACCAACTGTAATGGGATTTGGGGTCTAGATAAAGAGGCTGGTATTCCATGGGAAACTAAGTTTTGTGCAGCCAGTAAATCTCGTGGGATTGTTATGTTTGGTGACTCAGTTGGTGCTCATTTTCATTTCCCTGCTGCTTGGTTTAATCCAAATCTGATATCAAAGGTAAGTAATATTTTATTTTAAATTTTGAGTTATATTGTTCAAGATATCTTTGGTGTATTCAAAATATGAATTTGTTTTAAATTAAAGGATATATCTTTAAGAAATTTAACTGGAGTATTATTAGATGAGTTTGACTGGCCACAGTACAGTTTTGCAACTGGTTTCAAAAACATAACAGATCCAGAGCTTATTCAAGTATGTTTCATCACGTAAATTCTTTTATAGTAATCTATGTACTCTTGTTCTTAATTTTACTCTTACTTTTAAAGGGAGATGTCGATTCTATTTATTTACGTATGCGGAAAAGGAATTTGTGTAACCACAGAGATTATCAAAATGTGTGCCGTAATGGAGCCACTAGTTTTGACCTTGTGAAAAATGTAAAGAATATAGCAAGATCTCTAGAAGATAAGCCAGTTACTGTCCTGCTTGGAGTATTTGGAAATGATGTTTGCAACAGGTATGCTTGTTCCGCAGTTTGTTTAATATTTTAAAGTGAAATTTAGTAGACTTTTTCCTGTTCACAAATCTCACTTAGACTAATTTAATCATCTTACAGATTTCCAGATACCTTGAGAAACATGACCACTACTAAACAGTTTTATAAGAATATAGTTCAAGTTATTCAGACTTTGGAGAAAACACTTCCAGCTAACAGTCACATTGTTCTTATTGGTTTAGTAAACGGCACTTTTATTTATGATACCCTAGCTGAACGTTTGCATCCTCTTGGTATAGTTCCCCACTGAATATCAGTATAAAACGATTACCATTATTAGAGCTTAAGATGTTAAAACAGATGTGATTTTCAGGAGAGTATCATGGAAATGTGAAGTATAAGGATGTCTTCAATTGGTTTGAGTGTATGAAAATTAGTCCTTGCAATGGCTGGCTTAGTGATAACAAGACAATTAGAGATGAAACCACAAAGGTGACTTTGATTATTTTTAATTTTTCAACAATCTGGTCTATTTTTTTTTTTTAAAGTCTAACAAATCTGTTCTTTTATAGCGTGCTGTCGAATTGAGCCATGTGATGAAGTACATAGCTACAAGTTATGTATCAAAAACTGTTTCTTTAAGCTATGTACAAAATCCTCTGACTCAAGTGATAAACTCCTGGACAAAAAAAGGTGGTGAAGTATGGCAACTTTTTGAACCCATTGATGGTTTTCACCCTAACCAGGTAACTAGGGTTTAATTGGAGCATCAATATTTCAATATGCCAAAATCACCAATTTTATAATTATGAATTGAAAAATAATTTATTTTCTAATCTTTTGATTTCATTGTTTTGCAGATTGCTCAACCCATTATAACAGACATTCTTTGGAAAAATCTTAAGTCAATTGCACCAGAATCCATTGGACCAATCAACCCTTTCAACACTGAAATTTTCAATATGTTTGGTGACCAGGGAGGTCACTAATATTTCTTCAAATTTTAATATATTTCCCAATCGACTATTCTAGCTAGAGCAGAACAAGACAAAGAATCAAAAAGTTCAGGAAACAGTTCCCATAAACAGATCCAATGTCAAACTTTTCTTTAAGTCAAAAGTGTTAGAGAAGCTACATGCCACAAATTTGATACAATATTATCTAGAGGCTCTCTTTAAAAACTGTTTGCCGTAATTTATGATTCTATTTTCTTCTTCTTTGACTCTTGCTAGAATAGTAAAACCTACAACAAAAACTCCATTTCCCACCTCCTGTACATTGTAAATGGGAAATTATCAATAAATTGGAATAAAATTAAGAAGGATTTTTATTCACATGAGAACCTAGATATTAATTTAGATGCTATTTTACAAAAAGAATAAGGATTAACACAGCTTCAGGACTTCATTGCTTTAACAAAAAGATTTACCCATGTGACAACAGTAAATTTGTAATATTTACACAGTCTACGTCGCACAAATCTACATGAAAACGTCAAGCTTCCATTAGATAGATTATTAGATCAATGATGTTCTCCATGACCATGTCCATGATCACCGCTGCCATTGTAAGAATCATAAGCCATCTCCAAAGCTACAGTTCCAGCAGCTAATGCCAAACCAACTGGGAATTTACGGAACATAATCCTTCCCCACGTAGTTGACCAATTTTGAGGGCCAATCAGCTGTCGGTTGTATCTCCAAACTTCATTCCTAGAAACATAGTATGCAAGTTTGTCAAACTATTTAAAAGGAATGAAAAGAGTTAGATCATGTCATCAAGGATATAATGAATTATACAGAAAACTAAGGTCCGAAAACAGGACATTTCCACACGACCAAAATGATTTCAGTTGTTTTGGCCAAACTCTGAGGGAATGCAAGAAGCCACAAACGAAGACTCATTTATGACAAAGTGAAACCTCTCATCATAAAGTTACAAAAGCAAACAGTGTCGGTTAAAATTATGGCCTAGATTAGCTCGCATAAAGGCCTAAGTAAGGCGTATAAATATTTTGACTACGTTTTACTAACCTGAGCCAGGGATCTTTCAAGCCCTGAGCTGCGAGAGCTCTTTGGATTTGCAATAATTCTGGCGAATTTTCATCCACTTTGTAGGTACGGTAATCAGGTACTTTGTAAGGAGGCCCATGATGGTGATGATCACCTCCCATTTTGACAAAGTTTGATCGAAATGAAGCACTTGATTTCCCTACGGCTCGGAAGGTTATGGGATGGTGGGATTCCGTTCTCTAGCAGAAAGCGCAGAAACAAGCAGACCAGAACTTAAGCGTGAAGTTCTGGAAGGCGGTGATAGCTCGTTTGGCAGACGGCGGGACTTTTGAAATTCCAACCCTTAAGTGTTCGTTCGGAAAAGGCCACGGGATGGTCAGCACAGCTGCAATTAATGGTGTGAGAGAGGGTTTTTTTTTCACCTTCCTCTCTGCAGCATGGGTACTTTT